GCTGGTAGGGAAACACATGTTCGTTGAAGCGAACATGTCGGGCAATGTAAATCCGGTCATTAGACGGGTCAAGACAGCGATAGCCGTGGTGAACGGTGCTGTAACCAAGGAAAACGCAAGGAGTGGACCGGAATTCAATTTTGTGATGATTGTATGGACGAAGGTAAGGGAAGCATTGACAACCAAAGACTCGTAAGAAAGAATAATCAGGTTTTCGTTTGAAGACTTGTTCAAAAGGAGATTTGTTTGAGGAGACACGAGAGGGGAGACGATTGATTAGGTGGCTGTTTCAAAGGCAAGGGACCAGAAGCGTTGAGGAAGACTGGACTGAGCCAGGAGAGTGAGTCCAGTTTCTACAACATGACGATGGCGGCGTTCGACAATGCCATTTTGCTCACTGGTGTGAGGACAAGACCGTCTGTGGATGATGCCAAGGTTGCGACAAAGATTGGTGAGAGGCCGAAATTCGCCCCCCAGTCAGATTGAATACACTTTAATTTGGTGTTAAATTGGCGTTCAGTCATGGTGATAAAATGTGTGAACACAGTATACACATCAGATTTTTGATTTAAAGGATAAATCCACATATAACGTGTGAAATGGTCAACACATAAAAGAAAATAACGATGACAAGAGATGGCGCGGGAGAAGGTCCCCAAACATCACAATAAACAAGATCTAAAATATTATTGCTACGAAAAGTGGAATCAGGTAAAGATGACCTTGAAGATTTTCCCAATTGACAAGAAGAACATAAAGTATTTGATAATTTGTCTGAAACAGGTAAAGAACAATAAGAAACAATTGAACGAAAAACTTGAGCATGAGGATGTCCTAATCGCTGATGCCAAATGTTCGAAGGAGCTTTGACAGCAGTGAAGGCAACCTTCGGCAGAGACTTGAGTTGAGGAAGACGAATGGAGTACAAACCCTGTTCACTGGGGCCCGTAAGGAGGGTAGTGCGTGTAGATTCGTCCTTGACAACAAAATAAGAAGAGTGAAATTCAAAGAAAACATTGTTATCAAGGCAAAATTTTTGAACAGATAAAAGATTTTGTTTTAGTTAAGGAACATGAAGAATGTCAGTTAGGGTAAAGGTTTTGTTTGGTGAGTATATTTTGGATGAACCAATGTGAAAAAWGGGTACAGAATTACCGTTACCAACAAGTAAAGAATCGTTACCGTAGTAGGCCTCTGAGTTATCCATGCTAGATAGGTCTGGTGTGGCATGATGGGTTGCACCAGTATCTGGTTTCCAAGTAGRACCAGAAGATGAKCCARCCTCTGAGTRTGATGTAAAATTGGCCTGTGGTGCAGGATGAGACTGGTTCGGCTGAGTTGGGCACTGAGACGGTAGATGACCTATGCCACACCTGTTGCAATGGCCATAGACTGTGTTGTGGGTTGAACCCCAAGAAAACTGTCGGGAGCCATTGCTATCCCGAGGGCGATTATTGAAACCGCTACGTGAGTTGCCACGAGAAGAACCACGAGATCTCCGACCACCTCGGTTATTGTTGAAAGACCGAGAACCATAATATGCTTGAGCCCGTGGGGTGGGAAATGGGTTTAATTGATAACCAAGTTGAGAAGCCACAAGTTGAATGCTTTGGAGTTGTTGCTGAAGTTGATCGAGATTCGGTTGTTGAACCGAAGATACAACAGCCGTTAGTGGCTGGGATATTGGAGCAGTGTTGGCCAGGAAAGCTTGTGGAGTTAAGGTCTTTGTAAAAACATAGTCATGATCACACAAAAGACCATGCAGTTCATTGAAGCGAACAGGARGTAAACGRGTCAGTAAATTGCCTTTAATGACATTGTATTCCTCTCGAAGCCCTGCGATAGTTAGCATTACTAGGTCTTTGTCCTTCATTGGTTCTCCAATGTTAGCTAGAGCAGTGGCATATTCGTGAACCCTGCTTAGGTAGTCAGCCGGTTTTTCATCACCCTTCATGGTGATTCTAAGCAATTGATTTTTGAGAGTAAATTCATGAGAGGCTGTAACAGGGGCATAAGCTCTTTCAAGAGATAACCATACCTCACGTGATGTTTTGCCCTGAATGTGTTGATAAGAATCTTCGGACACAGTAGAGATGATAAGCATTCGAATATGGGCATCGTTTGAGATCCACGGGATGTAGCTTGGATTGTCGGTGGTTGCTGATTCGTTGGTGTTCCATCAACATAACCAAAGAGATTATGAGATGTGAGAAAAGCTTCAATCATAGAACGCCAATAGCCATAGTTGGTAGGTTTGAGAGAGAAGGAGAATTTGTGGGAATTGTGAATGGTTTTCTCCTGATGTGAAAAAGCGATTATAGCTGCCATGAATTCTGATGTTGATTTGTCTGGAATTTAACGTCGGCAGAGTTGCTGATCGCAGATTGTTGATTTGGCCGGCAGAATTGATGAGCGGCGATTTTAGGGTTAGAGAAAATAAAAATCGATAAACGAGGATTTGATATGGCTCTGATACCAAATCAGAATTGGTATCAATTATATTGATTCAAATCAATATAAGACACTTTTAGACAAGTAGTTATATAGGTAAAACTAATTACACTTTGGACCCTAGACAATATTAAAAATATAAACTAGACTAGCCGACTTAGTCTAATAGTCCAAGACTTATATTCAATTATATGTCATATCAAACTTCACATTTTTTTTGAGGAGGAGAGGGAGCATTATTCTAAGATGACTTTTCCCCATTGATATAGAAGGTTTTTAGATTTCTTTTAGAGTTGATCTTTTGGCCATGCTGAGTCGAGATTTTTGTGTACGGTTCTACCTCTTGTGTGTGATTTTTCTCACTTCAGCAAAGGACTGTTACTTCAACCATTGATGCTGCATGTTAATTTATTTATCTTGCAGTTTTACATAACTATATTATGATACCCCTGTAAGGAATCATCGAGTTGCTGTGTACATTTATTGTTTGCTTTCTGAAATTTATTGCAGATACACAAAAACCAGTGAAAAGCAACCGACAGAAATTGGGAGCAGCTGGTCTTGCACTGCACTATGCTAATATTATTACTCAGATTGATACACTTGTGAGTTCTCTTTTACAGATGTTATTAGCTGTGTGATAGTGCGTTTAAGTTTTTAGAACTTTTGGCAGCTAGAAGTTCCTATTATTGTTCACTCTTAAGAGATGAAACAGTCTCTGTTATCAAGATCGAATCTTATAGGCCATCCTACTCATGGCTCAAATCTTCAAGGACGGTCCATTGCTATGGTGATTGAGCCTCCATAGATATTTCTTCCTCTAGTTACCCATTGTTGTCAAGACATTTGTTATCACAAAATTCAGTATGAAGCTTGGGCAAGTATATGCTAAATCGTACTATTGTCTTTAGCAAGTAATAAAAGTCGTGTTGTATTCCTCAGGGAAAAGTTGCGCTTTCTGCCTTAACAAGCATTGATGATTTGGTGATCATGGCAATAGGATATTGTTCGACACTATCGTGCATTATTTATTTATACAGCCTATGCAGTTAGAATTTTAGCTTATAATTTGGGAAAAAGGATGAACATTTTTATGACACTGTTTGTTGAAATCTACAAGTTGGTGGCTGTTTGGTTGGTTTTCCATCAAGTCCTTTGTGGATTAATTTTCCTTTAATTCAATGACATATATGTATATCAGGTTACTCGCTCAAGTTCTGTGCCTCCAAGTACTAGGGATGCTTTGTACCAAGGACTTCCACCTAGTATCAAGTCTGCAATGCGCTCCAAGCTACATTCGTTTCAGCCAAAGGAGGAGGTATACATTGTAAACTTGTTTTCGTACCTTTGTCCAAAGTTGCATTTGTTAGATTCTATTGGGTTGAGTTTCTAGTCCGTTACCAATGGGGATTACTTACATAACCATTTCAATGACAAAAAATGATGCTTTGCTTCTTTTAATAAACTTAGATATAATAATTTGTTTGTTTTCTGGAATTCTGTGATTGCAGCTTACAGTCGCTGAAATTAAGGCAGAGATGGAGAAAACTCTGCAATGGCTTGTTCCAATTGCAACAAACACAACCAAGTAAATTGACATGCTTCGCTACGCACATGGTCTCGTTATGTGACTTATTTATCAGTTTCACAAAACGAATGGCACTTACTCATAGATGCAAGCTTGATAATAGTTATACACCCTCTAACTGCAACAAATGTGCTAATTGAAATTCTAGTCTTTGCACATATATTCTGGTCCAAAATGCAACAAAGTTTGGTTAAGTTCCTATTTAGTGTAACAAAGAATTGTTTTTCTCCATTGAAATAACAAAGTTTCAAAATAGGAAATTTTGTTAAATTTATCAACAAAAAGTTATTTCTTACATTAAAATAGGAACCACGACAAGTTGGAAAACCCCCAAAAAATGAGAAACCGAGGAACATCTAATAACCTTTCATTTGTACCGAATGCACATGTGACTACAAGTAATTCGTCTGGTATGCACACGGCATAGAATACCAGGAAGCATCTTCAATTACTTGTATGCACATGTGCATACTCATACAAATGAATTGTAATTTGGGTGTTCCTCAGTTTTTCATTTTTTTGGAGTTTTCCTTGAACCTCACACACACACACACACACACTCTCTCTCTCTCTCTCTCTATATATATATATATATATATATATGTTCTATTAGTTACTAATTGCTAATCTTGCATCATGTCAAACACAAATCGGATCAGAGCTCATCATGGCTTTGGCTGGGTCGGAGAGTGGGCAAACACAGGGTAAGTTTTCCAGTGCTTATTTCTGTTGTAACTAGATCCTCTTTTAATTAAATGACCAGTTAAATTCGTGTAGATCTGAGGTGAACCGAAAACCTTCCTGCCAGACAGACTCATTACGAATAGAGACTCTCCACCATGCAGATAAGGAAAAAACCGAAGAATGTATTCTTGAATTAGTAGTTTGGCTTCATCATCTTGTGTTCCAATCAAGGGCTATAAACAACAGTGGAATGAGATCGCCTGTGAAATCCCCGATTCGATCCCCAAATCAAAAAGGAATTCAGCTCCGACCCCACTTGCCGGTTGCATTGACTTCCGAAGACCAAGAGATGCTTCGGGACGTCACCAAACGGAAACTGACACCTGGAATAAGCAAAAGTCAAGAGTTTGACACCAGGAGAAGCAGGCTGAGCAAGCACCATAGGCTCACTAAAAGCAGTAGTCATTCTCCAACTAGGGAAATTAAGAAGGATCCTTTTCCGATAAAGAGACCATCATCGGTCCCTGTTATCAACTTCAGTACCGATAGGCTCAAGTCGATGGATGTTATAGACCGAGTGGACGATATCTGAAAACGACAATTAGTCGTGTGGAATGGAGTTGATCAGATTTTTGTTGTTTAGAGATTGAAAGGAAATCTACATTGTTGTTTGTACATAAATCTCTACTTTTATGTGACTCATAAATTGGAAACTTATGTTTCCCTTTTCTTTTCTTGCTCTTTCGTTTTAGGAATTTCATTTCATTCTACATATCTTTGATCTTTACTTTTGTTAATTTCATATCTTTGACAAAAATAGAATCGATTATCGGGTTTTCTTACTTTTTTTACTTTTATATTTAGATTTTTACTGGTGGTATATATTGGGTTGGTTCGTTTTTTATCTGTTTTTCTATTATAGGGTACATGACTAAAGTTCCGTTAATAGCCCAAAATTGATTAGGTACTTGGGAATCGTTTATATCACGTCACTTGTCTCTATTCGGGATAAATATTCATCAAGAATAACACATTTATGATGAATATGAAAGTGTTATTCATCGTAAATCAAACATTCATGACGAATATGGACATGTTATTCATAATGAATCACACATTCATAACGAAAATGTCACAATATTCATGATGAATATCATGTCTATATTCCTGATGAATATGCTTATGTGTCATGTTGTGTACGGTTTCATGTTCCTAATCAGTTTTAGGTTTATAGATTTATCCCAATAATTTCCAAATCTTTTTTATTCTTTTCAAATACAAAATCAATGTAAAATGGAAGTTTCATAACAGAAGATTTAACCATTTTGAAGATTCTTCTTATAAATCATCAGTTCGAGTCCTGCAAGATCAATAGAGATGTTCTTGTCTGTTCTCCAAGGCCCCTTGGTTTAGTCGTGATGTGTTCAAGCGGGCTCCAACACCCATAGTTAGGGCTGTAAATGAATCAACCGTTTAGGCAGAAAGTTCGTTTATGTTCATTTATTTAATAAATGAACGAACATAAACATATTCTTTTGGGAAATTGACCCAAATGACCGTATTCCATAACTAAATTGATCTCCTAATCATTTCTTTCCGGACTTTATCCAAAAGTCACTAGGTCCGCAATACTCAGGTCTGCAATTATTGCGGACCCACTAAACGACAAAATTTTAGAGTTTTTTGACCTAGGTCCATAACTATTACGGATCTGGCCCAAAACCCATTTTTTTTAATCCGTAATGCAGATCCGTAAGTGTCCACCTTCATAGGAAAATAGGTTTTGGGTCGGATCCGTAATAGTTGCCGACCGGTGGTTATGGACCTGGACCAAAATGTAGATATTTTTGTTATTATTTGGTCCGCGGTTAGTATTACGGACCTAGTAACTTTTAGGTAAAGTCCGGTGAGAAATGGTTATGAGGTTAATTTGGTAGTGGAATATGGTCATTCAAGTCAATTTCCCTATTTTTTATTCGTTTAGTTAAATAAACCAACATGAACAATGGTCATGTTCGTCCATTTCCATTCGTAAACGTCGTTTATTTATGTTTATATTCAAATATACTTATATATATATATATATATATTATAATATTAATATGTAAAATCATTAATTAAATTATATTTTTAGGATTCCTTTTTTGTCACTTCTAAGTTTACGTGATTTTCATTTTATTATGTTATTTTTGTGGAACGGAATGATGAGTAACAAACGAACACGAACAAACACATTTTCTTAACGAACGAACATGAACATAGAAAATTCCATTCGTTTGTTCGGTTAAGTTAAACGAACGAACACGAACAAGCCTATATTCGTGTTAGTTCGGTTCTTTCACAGCCTTACCCATGGTTAACAAAAAGGCAGAAATACGTTTTATAAGAAAATACTTTTTATCCGTTCATTCTCAGATTACTGTTTATGTTCTTGTCTCTTTAAATATAAAACCCACGTAAAGCTAGAGAAGTTTTATAAGTGTATTACCCCTAAATCTATTAAAATAGTAGACAAAATGCTTAATATGAAACAACTTTAATAACAAAATGCTAAAAGTTTGCTTAAGAGAGAGAACAAGAATGTATCAGAGTTTTAACAGGTCAATCTGATCCTTAATGGAAGAGTTAGAATAGCTCAGGGGTTACTAAAACCATCAAGTCTGCTATCTTCAAAAACCGAATGATGCCTATAAAGCCATCTACTGGAACATCTACAAAACTTTGAACGCCTCTAAAATTCCAGTAGAACCTGATATACATGTCGATAAGAAAAAGTGTTAGGCTTAATGCCTAGTGAGTTAAAGCAGTTTTATCCCATAAAACATAAAACGGTAAAACGACCATTTTCCTTTAAAGCAACGGACCCAATTTTTAAGACACATTTCATAAAAGGACTATATTTACAAAACTCATAAATTCCAATTCAAATACCTGTTTTAGATTAATAATCAAGATCCAACTCACCCAGGTCGTGCGCAAGGCGCAACTCCCCAAACGCAGATTATATAAATAAATTATGGATTCTGAACACCGAAAGCATGGGTAACAAAGTACCCGGAAACAACATCTTTTGGTGAGAGGGAGATCCGATTCCATCAAATATGGTGGTAACATCAAGTTAACAAACCAAATGGTCTTTGGCATAGCGGTATCGTAGCTCTTGGCCTCCTAGGAGTCCAGGGGTTCAAATCTCATCATAGGTGAGGAGGGTGTGTGAGTTTATTTGTTGCATTTGCCGTATATAAATATTATATACTTCAAAAAAAAAACATCAAATTAACAACTTATCAACTTTTTCGAGTTTCACCTCGGGCCTTGGATACCCGTATACTATACGGCTCCATTGAGCACCACCACAAGATTCCCCGAATGACCCTAGTGTCTACTCGACCCTTAGATGAGTCTCACCAAAAAGTCATTAGTTTCCATATACAGCTCCCACGAGCACCACAACAAGACCTAGCTCCGTATACGACCCAAACGGTACCACCTTAAACAATCTGTTAATGACTCGGGGACCACTCACCAGAGTTAAGCGGGACATCAGAACTCCCACGCTTAACCACAAGATAGACTCTTATGCTTATGGATACAATGCATCACAGTCTAAAGTTACATGACACCAATTGAATGACTAACGCACTCACAAATATGTAATACCCAACAAATATGTAATAAATGCATTTTACTTCAAAAGTCCTACATTGAGCTATTAAAACCGGACAAATTTCCTCAAAACTGATTTGAGTTAAAATCAAGGCAAAAGACCCTATAAAACACTTGACTATTTAAATATGGTCAATATAATCGACATAAGCCAAAAGGAATATTTTTTTTGATTAACCTGGATATCCAACCCGCTATGCGAGTCAACTAATCTCATGATGACCACCTGCTTTGCAGATAGCCTGGAGTAACCGCATTTGAACCTCTGTGGCCACAAAGGTATTTTTATTTCTCCTTGCATTTGAACCTGGGACCTCAAGGTACTTTTAACCTTTGAAGTCAAGCTCAAACTAATCAAACACCACCCTTATGATTACTAAAAGGAATATTTTCCAATCGTTTAAAACACATGTCACCCATAATCATGAATCATGAATAGGTCCATATATCATTACTTTGTGGAAACATAATAGCCAAAAAGCCTAATACCGTACGGTTTGCATTCTTACAAAGTCAATTGAAAGCATTTATCAAAGATTTATGCAATTATGACAAAAAGGGCTCAAATAGTTAAATTCCATACAATACATTTTCAAGAACTACAACACTATAAAAATCTATTTGGTACCGGTATAAGTTGTTTATCCAAATATTCAAAAGTGCTTATTAGCAGTGCCACACCGAAATAAGTCAATAAGTTGTTTTTATAAGCAATTCCAAACACCCTCTAAATCTTTGAAGGTTTATGTCTCAAATAAATCCATTATAAACATTTTCTCATGCCCGAAACTCAAAACATAACCCAATGCATAAAAATCACAAAATCCACTATTATCAAACCAACCCAACAAGATACATCTAAACACCCAAAATAGAGGTATTTTGACAGGTATATAGTTTTACAAAGCAACTGCAACTCATCTTGATAGATTTATGCTAAATTTAGGTTTTACCCTAAACTTTGCCCCTAAGTTGCCCGACTCCCAATCGTTCACGGCATGGGGCGGCTTCCATGCACCTCATCATGGTCACCCTACTTGCATAGGTAGCAAGCACAACGTGCGTATCCGGGCGTCTTGCTCACGCGACCTAAGGAGCCTCGGCTATTGGTCTTATTCCCGAGGGTGCACAACTCAGCAGCCCAACGCAGAAGCTTGGGCGACCTTTCCTGCAGCTTTAGCCGCACGGCGGAGCAGCACTGGATCTCCACAAACGCACCACCTTTTGCTCCTTAATCAACTAAAACATACTAAGGTCTTAATAGTGACTTAAAATTACCATTATCTTGAAAAAATTACGGTAAGAATTCACATTTTCGTTTATCTTATTGGGTAAGATTCTAGTCCATCAAAACGACATCGTATACAACAATTTTCCCGGTAAACGTTTAACGAGTAAGTTATCACTCTCACTTACCGAGTAAAACTATATGTCCTTGCCATCGCTCTTACCGGTAAGATTCTCGGTCCTTTATCATGTTCATCCAGTAAGGTAAGTGACCCAATGCTTAACGGGTAAGCGTTTTGTAAACATCTTAATGTATGTGTCTTTATATTGATTTTGTTTGTTAAAGGTTTATTCGTATAGTGAACACGGGTTTAGAGGGAATGGCATCGACTGTGTGGAGTATCATGTGAAATATAAGGTGTACGTTAAACATGATAGAAATTACATTGCATATTATGTGTAACTAGACGATACTACAAAAATCCAGAGGCGGATTTAGAATTTTTTCAAGTGATGACACCATTTGACTATAAAAAATAAATATATTGATATTTTTCACAAAATCATCATTGATCTGTTGGTTATTAGTTCCTTGCTTTTTCGTAAATGAGTTCATGTGTTCAAGTCTTTTATCGCAAATCTTTTTCAAAAACGCTAATCAGTAAGAGTCGTCACCCTCATTGGGTAAGACCTCGGTCCTTGCCATTGCTTTTATCAGGTAAGATTCTAGGTCCTTGTCATATACATCAATAAATACTTGTTATAATACTATATAAGAGGAAAAGAACTTGTTATAGTTGGTGTATTTGATGCTTGAGTTTGGACATAAAGTATAAATCCGTTAAGCGGCCGTTTACCAAACGTTTACCCGGCAAGTACTTACTGGTAAAATTCAACACTATCACTAACTTACTGAGTAAGATTTTAGTCCACCAAAAAGGTATCGTATGCAACAATTTACCCGGTAAGTCCTAACCATGGTAGGAGTCCTCAGACTCACTTACCGGGTAAGACTCTCGGTCCTTGCCATCGCTCTTACCAGGTATGATTCTTTGTCCTTGTCATATTCATTTGATAAGCGCTTATCCGGGTAAGCGTTTGGTAAACGGCCTCTAAGTAAATAATAGTGTTAAATTTTACTGATAAGCACTTATCGGGCAAGTGTTTGGTAAATGGCCCCTGGATTGAAAATGGTTGTTTACCAATGAGGCAAGTAACCAGTTTCTTACTGGTCAACAATTTGTGGATCAGAGTGTATTGGTAAACGACACCCTTCTTACGAGTGAAGGACGGTCGATAGGTACGCAGTTAAATAATAATCGGGTGCAAATAAGAGGCCGTTTATCAAAGTGGATTGTTGGTAAACGGTTTCGGTTCCAATCGAAGGTAGCTAAAAACAAAAACCAAAATACAACTTTCACACACATCTTACATTTCAAATATAACTACAAGATTGAAAAATGTTTTGAGCACATGAGGCCTCACCACAACACTCTCAATGAATGCCAATGAGCCAATATAGGAATGTGCCAAAAAAATGAATATGAGAAAACTTTGTACAAAGATAAAGGCAGGTTTGATTTTGTAAGAACCACCCAACCTTTCTGTCCCTAGTTATTTTTGACACTTTTTTTGCAAGCCTCTCAACCTGCAGAATCGAGTGTTGTCGAATGACTCGTCGGTGCTTCTTCATGAGTCGATAACCGAGTAAAAGAGTTAAAAAATCGAACCCAAAAATTAGTTTTTGTATTATTTATTTACATGAAGGGTAATTGCTTAGCTCCTTCCTCAACTGCGTTTCTCCATAACCGGTATCTTACTCCTAGCTTATCGTATGATACCGGCAAGTTCCATACGTTTTCTCCATTGATCATCCTATCTTGTTGCCCAAGTACAAGCCGTAGATCTTCGTTTAGTACCTGCAAACCAAAGTTCGGGTTTAGGATATTACTACTTCCTCACTACATTATTTGTCTTGTCTTAAAACCATGTCCCTTGATAACTTTATGAAAGCTAGCTTGAAATTTTTGCTTTTGTACACGTGTAAACCAAACAAACCCAATATATCTCATCAGATATGACTGTTCTCGATCCTAATAAGTTGTCATCGACACATTCAAGGTTTTGATTTCTATCCAGTCAAATATCATGCGTACTATGATTACGAACTATGGAAAACCATCTCCAGGAATCCTTATCGTACCAAACATACCCAGTATATCCCACTCAGTAGTAGGGTCTGAGTTTCGTCTAATCCAAGGGATAGAGAGGTTGTTTGCATGAAGACCCCCCTGGCTTGCAAAGAAGTTTTGTAGAGGGTAGAATTGTCAAGAAGTTTTTTGAAGAAAACACGAGGGAGCACAAGGCATAGGAGAGGAAAACAGTGTGTGCAAGCAGGAAACTATGACAGCAAATAGTAACAATAGTAAGACCATATATGAGAAAAGAACTGTGATTGTAATCTTTAATGGTACCTTTTCTGCAAAATGCCTCCACAGGTGGTGCATCAAAGGGACGTATTGCAAGAACGGAGCAAAATCAAGCGACATTCTATATAGTAGCCTTGTCTTATTTCTTGATGATGGCAAGCATACATGCAGTTGGTGAAGGTGTGTCGAACACTGCTTGCTGCTCTGACCCTCTAGTTTTCCGGGTTTTGAAATTCCGATGGTTGACAACACCATACAAGGTGGACGAAATTCCATATCTATTGGATATGGATCCCAATATCCTTCCAGCCCAGATGATGGGGTCAAAAATTTAACCAAGCTACAATAAGAAACCAAATGTCAATCATCTAAAAGTCTGTCTATTTAACCTCTTGCTATATAAATGTCCAAACCATTCATTAGCACACCTTGGAACACTCCAACCCTTTGCAAATGTGGAAGTGTGGGTGAAGGGTGCATGTGCAAGATCCAACAGGTTGTCTAAAAGTAGTCCATGCTCCACTGGTAGTTCCATGACAATCTGTTGTTCCCGTTAATCATATGTGAGTTGATAAATAATATTACATTTGTGACATACAAATCTAACAACCGGTTTCAGAAAAATCATCTATAAAATACCTCGGCATGTATTTGGAATCCCTGTGGTGGTTTTAGTGAAGGGATTGTGGCTGTAGAAGGTTCATTGCCCGGCCAGATCCATATCATTCCCTCCTGTTCAAAGCATGGAAGTGATTTTATCTTCACATTAACAAATTTTGTTGAAGGCATTTTTTCACATTTCCCATCCGTTGAATACTCCCACCCTGAAAATTAAAGATCAAACATATAATCTTCATATAATACAAGTTCAAGAAATTGCATGAGATACTGTTTCAACATTGGTAAGTTTACATAATTGCAGAAGTCTATCAATTAAGAGCTTACCATGGTAGGGACATTGGACGCGACCCTCATTTACGGAGCCCAAGTCAAGAGGACATGCTCTATGTGCGCAGGTGTTCCTTATACATCCTGGTTTCCCATCCTTTCCACGAAATAATACCCAAGGTTCTTCAAAGCAATCAATTGGCATCTGCAATGTCAAATCACAAGCAATTCTTATGAAAACCATGAGACAAATAATGTGTAAAGGTAATAAGAGAAACAAATGGTTCTGGTTTTTGTTGATCTCATCCATCTGTTTTCTGTCTAGATTGGATTAAATTACAAATGTAAAATGAAATGGAGAAAACATGTTGACAAACTACAAAATAACTTACCAATGTGTCTTCCTTCAGGTCTCTGGAGAAAGCAACAGGGTACCAGAAGTTCTTTAAACGAGGATGATAAGGTTTGACTGGACCAGACACGTTCAGACTTTTCCGTTGTGTTTTCCTTTCAATGGTTCCTAGGGGTTCTTTTGATGTGCTGGGAGATGAAGCAGTGCTCTCTGTTGCTGTTGTGCTTCTGTCTTTCAAAATTCTATCATTGACCAAAGTTTCCATGTGTGCTAACTTATCTAAAGTTGCACCAACCCTAGCTTCTGATATGTGCATCTGCCATTTTGGTGGAACCAGAATATAATTGGCTTTAGAATTAATATCAAACAGCTGTCTACCATCGAGCTTTAACTAAAATCATGCCAATTCATTTACCAGATATTTTGTTTCCTAACCTGTTTATGTGCTTCTGCAAGCTCTTGTTGTAACTCTGCTAGATCCTTCTTCAAGGTTCCAATGGATTTGTAATCACGAGCCAAAGGGTTTAAAACATCAACGACCTGCAGCCATGCCTTGAACTTAAGATTGATCCCAGATACAGTAGCTCAATCCAATGAGAGAAGAAAATGTATGTTTATGGTATGTATGAATATTGAGAATTTTGTTACCTTTTCATGTAGGAGCATGATTGTAAGAAGATCTTCTCGTGCTCGCCAATCACAATACTGTATATCATATCTAGCCACTTCAAATGCTTGATTTACATCCAAGAACTTCCCTTTACTTTGTGGAACTCTAGTCCTGGGCTCTTCCACATCAAATAGAGAGCCCCATGGGTTTTTCTTATTCACCAGTTCACCTCCCTCGTTGCTGGCTGATATAGCAAACACCATGAACCCTCCTCTAACACCCTATAGTCCAAGACATCCGATGTACAGTGTTAAGAAAATGACCATCAAACAAACGATGACTTCTGAAACTAACGATTACAATTGAAGATAGATCTTGTCAAAGTCACGACTGTTTTTCATTGACTATGCAGCACACTGGTATGCATATAAACTGAATTGCCTGAGGTATCATTACTGTAATCATTTACCCCTGCTAATAGACAGAAAATTTTCTCACTTATTTCTGTTGGTGATTTTAGTGTCATCAAGCCATTTAGTATGATCGGGATTAATATGAGACAAGCCGAAATTAGACTTAGCTATAATTCGAGCCCAGAGGTACAGAGTGCACGCTCGGATAAGTTAAGTTGATCTCGGGAACGCGGGGGTTCCGAGCAGCGCCCCTGGTGGGGTTCCAAGGGGCATCGTCCCAGACCGAAAATAAATCCGTATGTAAAAAATGGATCCAGTGGTTGTTTTCCAGCCAAACACCCGAACAGTCGCGTCTGTTGGGAACAGACACGACTTCCCGTAAAAAATAACTGACTTAACCGCCGGTGGCTATATAAGGTTTCATTCAATGATCTTCTTGCATACTGTTACTCTGCCGGATTTTTGTCCCTAAAGGTACATAAAGAAGCAAGGTATTCTGTGTTTGTGATCTTGGTTTTTGCTTGAAATCCAGATTGTTGTTCTTGGATTATCCCAAATCTGATTTCGTGATACCCCCGGCAATAGGGTCGAAATCACAGATTTTAGAGAGTGTTTTATAAACGATCCTTGAATTATCCAAGTAATTTGATATTCTGTTTCCAAAATCTAACAATTTTAGGGCAAACTAAGATAATAGGATAGACACTTGTTTTGAAGCAAACTAAAATAGTGACATAGACACCTGTTTTGGGACAAACTATATACCATTATTTTGGGACATAAGAGTGTAAAAAGTACAGCAAACAGGGAAAAGGCAAAGAAGCTAGATTATTGCGAGTGTACTCGATTTTCTCTACCACAATTTGCTCATTCTTTTGCATGCATTTACGATATAACTCCCATCCTCAGTAATTTCTCACACATCCTCTGGAAGGTTCCGTCCTTTAATAAAGTTAGACGGACATGTAAGAGTTCATGTGATTCAAGGTTTGACAGTATCATGAGTTCATGATCATGAATTAAGGATGCAGTCTTATCGACTACAACTAGAATCAAAGAACATAAACACACTTGATTAACATAACATATGTGCTGAACACAAAGCATAATCCGATAACGATACCTTTCTGGTGCTCAATTTAGATGATCGAGAAAGCGAAATCGGAAGAGATAGAGCTGCAGCAGTAGCAATGGCGGTCATGGCGATTGAGAAGTGACCAAAATTTAGGAGAAGAGAGAGAAAAAGGAGCAAGATTTAGGGAGAAGAGAGAGAAAAATGGTGGGATTTGTAGCGGAAGGGGATTTATTGGGGGAATTTGTAGATATGTGGCTTGTGTGGTGCGCGATCTCGGTTGGCCTGCCACAGGCTGACAAGTGGAAATGGTCGAAAGAAGTCTGCTTCTCTTGTGGCCACAACTTGTATTACGGCATCTTGCCACCTCGGCTTTCCTGATATCTTCCCTATCTGCTTTGCTTCTTATTTTGCAATTACACTTTGTCATTATATTATAATTACTATAAATTTGGTTCATATGGTTTGTTGTCTTTAACACTTTTGGTCCTTATAGTTTTAAAATTAGAAGATGATCATTATAGTTTTTAAAATTGATCAGATTTGGTCCGTTCTTTTAATGGTTGTAAAAAAATACCGTTAAGTGAAAAGGGTATTATAGTCTTTTTCCACTTCGATCACATTATTGTTTTATATATATATATATATAGGGGTGGGTTTAAATGAAAACTCATTTTTCATTATGAACATGAGAACAAATCTTGGCCATTAATCAAAATATAAAAAAAACTAATCAATGGTTAAAACACAAAATCATAAAATCTATATATATATATATATATATATATATATATATACAGGCCCGGCCCTGGGCACGTGTAGCCCGTGCGGCCACACAGGGCATCAAAGCCCAAGGGGGCATCAAATTTTTTTATGGACCATGGTATTAGTTTTTATTTTTGGGCCTTTTAACCCTTTAGATTTAAAATTAAAAACTTGGGCTTTAAAAACAAGCCCAAACCCAAAATTGAATTGGATCCCCTCAATCCTCCTTTCACCGTTTCACGACAGAATACAGATTGACATTTGACGGT